GGGCCCTAAGTCGGTGGAATGTTACATATATCTTCTCCTTCAACCTTTTTCACCATTTTTAAGCTAAAAAAACAGAGAAATTAGAGAAACCCATTTCTAGGATCAAGTGAAATATAGATTTTCTCGACTTAAGTCCTTGACGAAAGTTGTTCTACGCGTTGGGCTCATCATCGTGGTATAATTTATTTTATCGATTGCGTAGCATATCACACTTTAGTGTTGGGACAACAAGGGTTTGGATATATTTGAAGGTTTTGAAGCGTATTACAACCTTAAGATCGAGGTAAGACCCTTCTTTTATCGACTCTAGCTTTTATAAGCAGCAAATAGCAATTTGCGACGGAAATACATATATTTTATTGTATTGTCATAGTATCTTTTATTTTTGTGTGTTGATTATGGTCCTACCTTGTTGTAGTATCGAGGGAGTATTGAGTAAAAGTCATTAGGCCACGTGAATTTAGCGAAAAAGGTATGTTAAGACTATTCCCTACTTACGACATGTTTCCTTAAAGCTTAGAAGCAATGTATTTGGGTTGTTATCCTTGATATACTTGTAGCCGTGATTGTTGATTGTTGGCTGCTCGAGTTGATATAATCCTCCCTTGTCGGGATTCTTATTCAGTTAGTAGCGTCCCTATATTGGACACGACTTAGAGGCTATTTGTAGAGGATGCTTATAACTAAATTGCTCGCTTTTAGCGATTGGATTGTTATTATTGTCGTTGGGGCTATTGTGGTTAGCTGCAGGAATGTGATCTATGCCTAGAAGGGCTATGTTCAACCTACAGGGCTATGAGTTGCCTAAATGGCTATATTGACGCCTAAGAAGGCTATGTGCTTCCTACAGGGCCATGTTGTTGCCTAAGAGGGCTATGAGTTGTCTATAAGCTACGTTGATGCCTAAGATAGCTATGTGCTACCTACGGGGCTATATTAATGCCTAAGAGGGCTATGTGACTGCCTACGGGGCTAGGGGACTACTAATAGGGGTATATAGGCTGATTGGCACCTTCCGGGCTTATGGGGGCCTGAGTAGGTGGTCTTGTGTGCTGTTTATACCTGCCGAGCTTATGGGGGATTGGTATTATTTATTTTATCGATTGCGTAGCATATCACACTTATCTTAGCCTTAATTTATTTATTGAATTATTCCAGTATATCAGGATACCTCATCATAGTCTAGCCTTTCATACTCTGTACATTATTTTGTACTGACACCCCATAGCCTTGGGGGTGCTGCATTCATGCATGTAGGTCCTGACAGACGACTGAGTAGACCTCCTCAGCAGCAGGATTGACTTTTATCCGGTTGGCTAGCCCTTTTCCTCCGGAGCTGCCAGAGTTGGGAAGTTTGTTACCTTTTGTTGTATATATCTTTATGGGTAGGTTGGGGCCCTGTCCCACCAATCTTTACTACTCTTAGAGGCTTGCAGACTAGTGTATGGGGTTTATAGCTACGTTATGGAAATGCTGGCCTATGTTGTTGGTTTGCGGAAGCTTGTGAGCTGTTTGTTGTATTGTATTGATATATACCTGCTTTTAGTTTTGGTATATATATCATGGTGGCCTCGGCGGCCCAATCAGGACTTCTGTGCTAGTTGACTATTTATTTATATGATCTCCTGGAAGTAGCTATTTCTTTTATAGATCAGTTGACAGGGACCTTGCCGGCCGATGACTTAGTTTTAAGCCGAGATATACTTGTTTGATTTCTTGATTGCGTGTGGCTGCCATGCGCTAGTAGCAAATGGTTCGGCAGGGTCGGCTCGGGTCTGAGTTTTGGCATTAGGAGCCAGTTGCGCCCCTCGAGTTTGGGGCGTGACAAAACTTGGTATCAGAGCAACGTCGTATCCTAGGGAGTCTGCAAGCCATGCCTAGTTTGGGGCGTGACAATTATATGTTGGTTTTTCTATTTTATTTTAGGAGAATTCAAAATTTATTTGTGTATTATCTATTTTCCATCAAAGAAACTCAATGTGAATTGGATGAGTACTCTAATGTGTACATGGTTAGAAAAAAGTCTAAATTTGGGGTTAGCTCATATTCGAGGGATTGTGACATTTTGTCTCGATCATTATAAATATAAAAGACATTATAATGTGATGTCATTTTCACTTTCATTTGACTTATCACTAGCAATTTGTTCGAAATTCAAAACTTATTTGATAATGATAGAAAAATCTTAACTTTATCCTCAATGCTTGATTATGGAGTATAGTATCTCTGTATTAGAATTTCATTCAAAGTTAAAAAGAGCAAATTCTAGTGTCGTGTCTCGGATGTTGATGAGATCAAATAATTCGGTTATCTTTGAATATAAATTTAAAATTTAAACTCTGAGAATTAAAAAAACTTTATGATATGAACTATTTTATCCTCTAGTACATTTATTTGATGCAAATATTCATGGTTAATGATCTTGACACACCTATAATCTAAATCGGGAAGGAAAAAAGAAGAGTTGTTATAACTTTTGATCAATCTAAATTGTGACTTACATAAAAGAAACACAATATATAAAACCAAGATACCTAATATACTTTCGATTCGAAAAAAGTGATATATACAGACTTTATCCTACATAAAAAATGGTCTTATCAAATACAAATTTCATAAACTTTTCTTCTAGCTAGGTACAGTGCACCAACTTCTTAATCTCTACATTATAGTTATAATTAAGATAATCAACAAACCACAATCTTTTAATATCTAGATTAAGTGTTCACTAATCCCTTTTGAGTTTATTTACTAATTTTTTATTATTTAATTTTGGAAAAGAAGAGTGCATGTGAAAGATTAAATAAAAAAATAGTCCAAGTTCTGCTATCACATGCAACTTCATTTTTTTTAATCTTTTTTTTCTTTTGTTAATTTTTGGCCAACAGATATAATTGGCACACAGAGAAAAAGGCTTTAGCTCACTGTTAACAGCATGTCGAAATTTTGGAACTATATATTAACGTGATATACAAAGTGTATCTTTTTCTAATGAAATAATTATGTGGTCCTAAATTGAACTTGAAAATATAAATTCATTACAATTAAACAAAGATATTTCTACTTTTTCTAGCTTTCATAATATAATTTCATTTTTTAAAACATTAGTACAATGAACGGAGACATAAAGGGAGCTTTGAGCATTATCTCTTCGAATCGTGAAAATAATCATTAATATTTGGATTAACGTATATGATTTACATTATATTTTTTGAGGTATAATTTTTTTTCTAAATTCTGCATAAATGTGAGATACTTTGTGCACTAGTATTATACGCTTAACAAACGTGGACCATTGCTACTTGCAATTAAGAAATTTACTTGAAATTGTATTTAATTTGTTCAGAAGTGAATGTTTTCTGGCAGCAAATAAGGATATTAGTTATGCGTTTTAATATGGATAATTGGATTTTGCAGTTTTATTTTATCGAAAATTCCGTAACTAACGTTCATAATTAACTAATTTATTTAAATAGAAATCTGTGCTTTGACTAGATGTGTCAATTTTGACTCAAAAATGTGTAACACACCCAAATTTTAAGTGGATTGGAATAACTTAGGTTACGTATAGACTCAATTAATGAATCCGTCCATTTGTCGTCCCTAAGGAGAGCTCGGAGATCATCCCACCATATTCCTAGCTTGATGGTAGACTCTTTATTTAACGATTAAGGATTAATTACTACTAACTTTGATTTATATTATTTGTCTTTTAATGAAAATTTTGACTCGGCAACTATGATAGGAACGATTTTGCATTATTATTGTAGCTTACAAGTTACAATAGTATTCTTTGTTAACAGTCCAATCAAAAGTCCATGGGTATCTAGAAGGCCAAATGCCCCACTAGAACCCATGTTGATTAATTAAGTACTACAATACTATATATTATGTTTATGAGACATTAATAAGAGAATTATACAATTTTTATGTGGAGATTCCTGTTTTGTGTGCTGAGGATGTTGGATTTTCCTCTCTTAATTATTAGACCACAATTTTTTGCCTTGCCTTTTGTTGGAATTCAACTTTCTTGAAATTGTTTGTTAATTACCTAGTCCATTTTGGATGCACAAAGTATTGAAAATTCCATTTTTTTTTACAATAAATTTATCTCTTTTATGACTTTGGGTAATCTAATTTGTTACTAACTCGAGAGTCATTATAAATCTATATTCAAAAATCGATTCAGAATTTTAAATCAATTACACGTGGACCAGAATTTAAATGTCACATACCAAAAGAATTTCTAATATCTTTTCTTAAATGAGGAAATGAGTGAACATAACCCTTTATAATGTGAATAGAGAAGAAAGTAACTAAGTTTAAAATATAATATTTCCCAACTTTTGGCATTTCTAGAACTCTAATATGTGCAATCATCTTTATACAACATAGTTACTATGATTTTGTTTAGTTACTTTACTTTATATATATGTAACAAGTCCACCGATGTTCTTCAATGTTACTTAGACTCTTCAAAATGTTATTATACCCGTATTGAATCTTTGAAAAATGCTTTACTTTTGAAATTCTTTTGGCCAGGATTTAAAGAGTAGTCACAAACCATTGAATGGCAGACAATAAACACATGCAATTACTTCCAACGACAGCACTAGCCAAACCACTTTTCCAATGAGAAAGTATATGCATAACATCACAATAAGTGGACTATATACCTTCTCATAGCTTTAAATACATTGTCTAGTTCTAACATCCACAAGCATATATGTCAACATAATACCCTAAAAAGACAACCACAAATCCAACTACATATTATTCCCAAAAAAAAAAAAAAAAACATGTCAAAGTAGTTGTTAGAAAAAGCTTTATGAGTTAGATCATGTGGAAAGAACTATTACGTTATCAGGTTAAATTGACCTACAACAACAGATAACTCTACATATGAGACTTGATATAATAACCTGATAAAAATAGAGTAATAATTAACCGGTTATAACTAGTTAAACTGCACTGATAGTATAAGGATTCTTTACACAACATGTCATATCTTATATGATCTGATTTTTTGTTACTTCATCTAGTACTGCATTTTCTGTTTCTCCATCTTCTGATGCTGAACTTATATCTATATCCTTCTCAGGATTTTCGAGTTGCACGCATTCGGCCACTGGATTATGAAAGCAACTGTTGTTTTCTGAATCAAGACTCCTGTTTGATGGAGTTAAGTCTCCTCTCCTTACCACATTGAATACAATCCCATTGTTAGTCCTTTCAGTCTGTAGCAAATCACCTTCAGCAACGATAGTTCTGATGTCTCTTTGATCAAATTCTGTATCTGATCTCCTATCAGGTGTTGTCACTCGTGGACTCGGAGAAAGGGGCTCCCTGACTACAACATTGTTGAGGTCAATACTCAGTCCTCTGTTCGATCGTTGTGAAGGATGCATTTCCAAGTTTTGTACATAGTCGATAAACTTATCAGCTGATGTTGTCCTCATCAATGGACCACCTGATCTTGTCCAAGAATTATTATCCGCGTTTTCAGACTCACTATCACTACCATGATGATCATGTGCAGCATTCTTGTTATTACAACGCCAGTTTCGACCAGCATTGTGATGATGAAGAGAGGAAGCAGGATCCGCGTGAAATTCTTCTTCAAGGGAGCCTGCTGAGTTCTCTCTTGCAATGCAATTCCAAGAAGGAATACGTCGAGAAGCATTGAGTTTGACTGTGCTGCTTGACATGCCTTGCGAAGCAACAGCTGCTCTCTCCGCGCTTCTTTTTAGTCTACGCATATGGTTGAGTATTGCTACACACTCATCAAGAGCAAGCTCAATTCCACAATTTGCCTTAATGGCTGATAGTTTCTCCCAAGTGCATCTCCTCCCTTGATTTGCTGCTTTTTGAACCTCCAAAGTAGAGGGATTCTGTATGATCTTCAAGTACTGGATCATAAACAAACATTTGGAGAAATGGTCAGTTATGAAGCCAAATTATATACATGATGTTTATCAGGTATCATTCAGTTGCATATAAACACCCTTTGTCGGAAAATTATATAGAAAATGATATTCTGCATAAACAGGTCAAAAATTACTTCTTAGCCAAATTCCTGGCTTTGCCACTAGACTATCATGGACATACCTGAGCAAGAGTGGCTGGCATTACAATGGTGACATCGCCTTCCCAATCTTGAGCAAATAGCTTGGCTAATCCCCTCAAGGGAAAACCAAGTTCCAGTACCTGATTGCATCTGTGCTTCACTTCCATCTCAGTAAGATGAGCAAGCTGCATAAACCAAATACTTATCGTTACATTTCTCCACATAAATTCTCTGTCTTCTAAGTTCTAAAGACACAAACATAATCTCAGGAGTATGAAGAACAAACAAGTCGAAAGATTACAGAGAGTATCAAGAACCAAAATCATACCTTGGCAGCAAAGTTGCCTCCATAAGCTCTTACAAACTCTTTGATCCTGAGTAAAGGAGCGATATGTGGATTCGCCTGGCTCACAATAAAGTGGTTTACGTTGAATAGCTCTTTTAGCTGCATCATAGGCAAATCAATCTCCAAGCTACCATCCCTCCATCGACGAGCAGATGAACCAGAAGCTGCAGCCTGATCAGGTTCCAAATGAAATGGTGGATGATAAGGAACAAGATTACCACTTCTATCCTTTGCCATCAGTTCTTGTGCTTCAAACAGACCAGGAAACGCGCAAGAAGCAGTCACAGCACTCCATATAACAACATGAGGTGAAGTCAAGTAGTTTAAACATCTAGGAGGTTCATGTTTTCTAGGGGAGCAAACAGTAATCCCTAGAACTCGACCAGTCATATCGTAAGCTTCTTGGAAAGTAAGATTATTCGTGAGATGGCGTAACATCACCTGCAACTGCCTAATCTCATGTACAGCCCCTTGTCTCATGATCCTCCTGAAAACAGTAAGAATTCCACCCATCTGTTCAAACGGCTGCAACACATGCCAAAAATCCTCAAAAAAACTCTGCAGCTCAGGCCAAGACCGAGTTGCAACTACAGAACACATAATCGATCCAACACTCGAACCAGCAATTATCCTTGGCATAAGCTTGTGCTCAACCAATGTCTTAACCACACCAACATGAAAAGCTCCCAAAGACGCGCCCCCGCTTAAAAGCAATGCTGTCCTACCAAAAGCATGTCTTGTTTCATGCATAAAAGCAAGTTTCTCCTCCAACAAAATCTCATCTGAATCATAATCACATACCATTTTCAACTGAGTTGAAACCTCATCAATATACTCCTTAATAAGTTTAGGCACATGAAGCCTACCCTTATGAAGCTGTGGATTACACATATTTCCAAGATTTCTCACAAGATCAGCCCTCATAAAGAACATAATGTCTCTTAAAGATCCTTCATTACGACGATGTTGAAGTTCTTGAAGTTTATTTACAACTAACTCTTCATCATAAAACTCTGCTTCATTCATTTTAGGTGTCTCTTTCTCCAACATTTTCGCAGCATGAGCCCATTCCTCATAAGTTAATGCAGATTTCATCATATTCCTCCAAAATTTCCTCTTATAAACCATATCACCCCTGATTTTTACATTCGTATAGCGCCTCAACAAGAAGGCTAGAAGTGTTACTAATGCTAATATCCCTTGTGGATTACGCGGGTGAAACCATTTGATCAAAGGTGTCAAGTAGTATGACAGACAATTCTTGATCTTGTACAAGTAATATATCAAGAAATGAAAAATGTTGTGCCTCAACTGCGATATTGATTTGCAAAACAAGACTCGAAAGGCTATTGTTCGACCTACAATTGAAGAAGGTCCTATGGAAATGAACTCTACTTTAGCCTCATTACTTATATCCATAACTTAGTGATTGTAAACAACTACTAAGATTAAGAAAATGAAGAAAACTATTCACAAGATTTAGGCAAAATCAGATGGAATCAAGAGCTAAACACTAAAACATGTGCTAGTAGAGTTCAAATAGTGACTAAATATCTCAAAAAGAGATAAAAAGATTGAGAATTTCACTTCAAGATTCAATTTTTATCATACCAAACAAATAAATGTCCAAAAGGGTCCTAGGAAACAACATGAAAAATTAAAAAAAAATAAAGTACCAAAAAATTTCAAACACTTCCCATGGTTACTGAGTTCACATTTCAATGTAAAAAGAAACTGAAAGATTGAGAATTTCAGTTCAAGATTCAATTTTGATTATACTAACTAAATAAATGTTCAAAAGGGTCCTAGAAACAACAGAGAAAAATGACAAAAATAAAATAAAATAAATTGACAGTGCTATGGCATGTTGTATGGGTTTATTTTTAACAAATAATTGGGATTGGAAATGGTAAGAAAGTCCATAACTTTGAGTTAGATAACGATATGGGACTATATGTGTCAGCTATTGGAAATATGGATAGACACACGATTATTGGAACTTGAAATCAATTTTTATACCACTAATATTATTCAACAATGAGTGAAGTTTGGTGTACCGTCAGCGTAAGTACTTATTCATTCTTAATTTATAGGTCTTGAATGAGCCTTGTAAGTATCGGACAAAGTAAAACTTTTTGTACGAATTTAAATTTAGTCAGACTCTAGTATGAAAAACGAAAAAAGCTATTCAACATTTTCCAAAGTTTGTTACATATTTAGCAAAAGGACAATATTATCATTTTTGTCCTTTCTTCTTTTGGCCATGTCAATATGTTCTTGATTGTGACAAATTTCTTGGATATATACTACTAGTGATATATAGATGAGTATTAGATTTCATTTATGTGACATCTTTTTCATTGGCTACTGTTTATTGCTTGCAAGCAATTATTCACATAGAAGAGAAGTGTATGAAAGATGTATAGATTGTTTGAGAGAAGTATACAAACAAAATTAATTATGTGAATTGCTTAAAGTCCAACCTTAAAGTGCTACTTGTGGAAAATTAAAGTTTGATTTTTTGGAGGTACAAAAAATATCTTAGATATTTAGTAAGAACTTTTTAGAATTTGGTAGAGTAAATATCTTTGATATTTATACTTAAGAAAAATCTAGATGTTCTAGATAATTAGATATTTATAGTAAAGTACAGAAATAAATAGATTCTTGTTACATAGTTAGAAGATAAGGATAGCTAGATATTTCTTGTATATGTATCTAGAATAATTTCTAGAAGCATTCCTATACAAGTATAAATAGGGGTGACATTAGGCATTTTGTAATCAACTAAACACAACCCAAGAACAACCCAAATAAAAGAGTCGTCTTTCATAAATAAGTTCTCCTTTCTAGCTTCCTCTTTCTTAGTTGAATCTTCGGATCTTACTTAGCAATCTTGGGCTAGCAGAAGGTTCTCGGGTTATACTTTTCTTCTGCTCTTCTGTACCCTACTAATTATTAGTTGCAACCAATCATATGACAAATTCTTGAAAAAAACTGCCACGTTGATATTGGTCAAGAGAATAAGTTGTTTCCTTATATAATTTTGGACGATCCCATCTTATAGACTAAGGGTTTTAAGATTTTTAATCTATCCGCAAAAGGATTAATTTTTACCTATTTAACTGTAATAGTTTAATTTGTTACCGTCCATTTCATAATATTCGCATCATCTTATGAATATGTTGAACTTTAGCAGTCTAACCTTCGCTATTATACAACCACTATTTAATTACCATATGGTAGAGCAATAAGTGGCGGATATACAAGTTCACTTAGTGTAATTTTTTTTAATCGAAAGGGTTTGGGTGAATATTCTTCTGCCCCATTGTACGTACTCAGTTGAATTGAGATATGCATAAATTAATTCGAACATCAAGATTATAAAAAAGGTTGAATTTTCGTAAGGCTAAAAAATGTTGAATTTCCAAAATAGTATGCAATTTGTCTTTAATATAACATTTGCATTGAATAATAAAATTTGCATATTACATTTTGTGCTTCATAGGCAACGTAACTAAAACATTCTATTTTTTTTTTACTACATCTAAATTTAATTATTTTATTGTATATAAGCAACAATAACAGTAATATCATCAATTTTTCCTCCTTTATATCGTCCCTCAGATGCTCTAGAAAATGGTGTATCTGCAAATCTATCAAATGAATTATACAAAGCAATGTTCCCAATTTGACTAGCCAACTCCTCTGCCTTTACATTTTGGTCTATCGCTCTTCGAACAATTTCCTCTATCTCACTTTCAAATATATTATCAAGCATTCCATCCGTCCCAACCATCAAAATATCATCTTTCTCAACGTTTAATTCCAACTCTTGAGCAACGCTAGGATTATCTGAATTGCAATTTCCCAATTGATATGGACATCCAAATCCTCGTTGTTGTATTGGTGACTTGTATATAATTTTTCCCTTTCTGATTAAAAAAAATCCACTATCACCAACATTAGCAACAACTATAGTATTTTTCACCAAGTTAAGAGTTATAATACAAGTCGTAGACGATCCTTTTGAATTTGTGTTTTTGTATGCTTCTTCAAGAACCCTTTTAGGGTTTACATGACCTTTCATTGATTCATCATATGTAGCGATAAATGAATTCTTCATAAGCTCTCTAGCGTATATTCCAGCGTCAATCCCCTGTTTCACCCAACCACCAACACCATCAGCAACACCAATAGTTTGGTATAATTCATGTATAAAGTGTGCATCTTCACCTAAAGGCTTATTTGGATTATCTTTAGGTAAGTATAAAGATCCAACAACCATTTTTAGGCATGGTAATTTGTTACTACTAAATTCGACGTTGATAAATTAATCATCATGACTAAATTTGAGTTTCTTGTTACTATGATTTTCCAGATTATTATTAATTTCATGAGAAGAGAAGTCGAAATATCTCTTGTAGCGTGGCAAGTTGAAAAATTTATCGAATTTTATTTTGGAAGAACATTGATCATGACCTAATGATGAAATACATGCAGCCATTGTTGTGTTGATTGAAAAACTTTGGGAAGTAAAAATTATATAATGGAAGTATGGTTATAACTAATATATATATATACACACAGACGTTGCGTTGCAATTCTATGTAGAATAGGTTTATGGAAAAAAAACATTTTTGGTAACTTTTTTATATATGGAATATTTAGAAAATAGTGTGTGGTAATTAATCCTACATGGAAACAAAGTTTTTTGTAAATTATCTAAGCAACTAGAAGGTTCTTGCGTAATTAGGTAGTAAAAAGAAAGTGAGATTTTAATCCAAAACTTTTTTGGAAACTTTTCCAACTACAAATCTATAATACAGGAGATATAATTATTGTGAATTATAAAACTTTCTATGTAATTTTTAAATAATATATCTATATATTACTTTCTTTATCTCAAAATTGTTGTTTGCGTTCTTAATTTCTTTCAATTTGGATACCTAATGATTGAGTAATACCTTCTCATTAAGAGCGTCATAGAAAAAGATTTTTTTTACCGATTTCCAAAAGAACGGAACACCTATCCACTTAGACAAACCATTGAATTATTCTAAATTTGTTTTACCTAATTTACACATGATATCAAGAAAATACTTAGAAGTTAGATCTAAGATTATTTGATATTTAATAATAAGTTTTTCCAAACAAAACTACTAATGTTTAATTTTAGGTAAATAAACAAATAAAATCGAGTAAATGGTTGAGATGAAGCCACGTGTCCGTCCGTTAGTTTTAAGGATATACACAACCCATAAGAGTAACGGTAAGGGGATATACAACCCTAAAATATAACGAAGGGTATTAACATACCATTTGTGATAGTTCGGGGGTATATTTGTTTTTTTTCCCTATATCTTTTAACATGGCAACTCATATCTATGCCCTCCAACTTTGGCTGCACACGAGTAAACACTTAAACTTGTATAAAATTGAACAAGCACACACACGCGTCCTCTGTGGCATAATATAGATAGGACACATAATTGCTAGGTAGGGTGCAACGCAAGACGAATGTATATGTTTGTTCAATTTTATACAAGTTTAAGTATCTACTTATGCACACCAAAAGTTAGAAGACATAAATCTCAGTTGACGCCAAGATTATGTATTATGCCAAAAAAATTACTAAATTTTTTTGTGAATCTGTGAAATTAATTGAGGTATATGCCAGCTAACGACAGGAAAATAGTCGATATCCGTAAAATTAATCGAGGTGCATGTAAGTTGACCTGACAGGTAGCAGGAATTAATGAGTCGAAGTGAGCAAAACGTGGGTCCGTCACCAAACCTATAAAAGAGAATCAGGACTTAGATTTGAAGAATCCAAATAAAAGGAGTTTGATGTCATAATAATAATTGCACGGATATAAATTATATGTAGTATGATCCGAAGAAAAAGAAAATAGTGAAACAAACATTACAAGGGAGAAGTTGTATCATACTTTCTCCATCATCATTTTTTTTTCACACAAAAAATTTACATGTACATTGTATTGTATAATCATAATTTTAATTTTTCGTTCTTTCGTTCGATGAATTATCAAATCTGATGAAAAAAATTCGGAAATTGAAAAAAGGAAGAAAAATCTGCAGAAAGATCACAAGAGGAGGTGCGTTCATCAATTCTGTTTGATGATTTTCTCCATTTTAGTTGTTTTCTTCGTTCTATCAAGGAAAACTCAACATTTTAGGATGTGTTTGATACGAATGAAAGATGTTTTCCTGATAAATATGTGATTTTCTTATGTATGGTACCTAAGCAAAATGTATATTTATTTGTATATAACGTAGATGAGGTGCGTTGGAGGATGGAAGGATACAATCAATGTAGAATGTCAGTTACTAGAAGAGTGATTTTCCTCCATCTAATACACCTTCTTTCTCGGGATCCGAGGCATCTAATAAGAAATTTTTCAAATAAATTTGTATGTTATGACAGAGGTGTATGGATAAGTCGATAATATGTCACACTTTCTCATACTTGTGTGCAGTTGCTTTTGCTTAGAAGTTTGATCTGAAGTTGGGAGAAGCTGTAAAACAGGAAATTTTGCAAAAATGTCTATCTCTGTGAAAGATTTGGAACCTGCATTTCAGGGTGCAGGACAGAAACCGTATCCTTTGGTTCCGAATATTCGATTAGTTTGATATTTCATCACTTCATCCTACTGAATGATTAAATGAATGGAAGCTCAAAAGAGCATATAACAGTAACTGTGATCCTGTTACTCTGTTTTTGTTTTTGTTTCCGTTTCTACTGTAGTACTTGGCGGTGAAATTTCATAAAATGTTGATTTAACTCTCTTTAGAGGAACCGAAATTTGGAGAATAGAGAATTTCCAACCAGTTCCTGTGACAAAATCTGAACATGGTAAATTCTACTCGGGTGATTCATCTATTATCTTGCAGGTACGTATTAATTTAAAATGTTATTCTTCTATTTCTTGTTTATCTTGGGAGGAAATAAGTTCAAATGTTTTGACAACGATTCTGTTTTTATCTTATCGCAGACAACTTCTGGCAGAGGAGGAGCTTATTGGCATGATATACATTTCTGGCTTGGAAAGGATACTAGTCAGGTACAAATCGTTTCGTAGTCTTAACAGTAGCTCAACCATATTGTTCCTTTTTTTTCATTTTCTAGAAGTTTGGATACTATGCTAGGATGAAGCAGGAACTGCAGCTATCAAAACAGTTGAGCTTGACGCGATTCTTGGAGGACGAGCAGTACAGCATAGGGAAATCCAAGGTCATGAATCAGACAAATTCTTGTCATACTTTAAACCATGCATCATACCATTAGAAGGAGGTGTTGCATCTGGATTCAAGAAACCGGAGGAGGAAGTATTTGAAACGAGGTTGTATGTCTGCAACGGTAAACGAGTTGTTAGGATGAAGCAGGTACAGAAGCAAAAGAAAAACACTTACTACTTGAGCTCATTTGGAAATGTATGTAACTTCTTCAGCTGTGATTGAAGATAATATTGAGGTTAGATTTTTGTCAGGTCCCTTTTGCTCGGTCATCGCTAAACCATGATGACGTGTTTCTTCTAGACACTGAAGACAAAATATATCAGTTTAATGGTGCAAACTCCAATATCCAGGAGAGGGCTAAAGCATTAGAAGTTACTCAGATATTGAAGGAGAAGTATCATGACGGGGTGTGTGACGTTGCAATTATTGGTAAGTCGAAGCCATTGAGTAAAATGCAAGATTGTGCAATTCATCTAATGCTTTGGACAGAATTGTTATGTAACTACTATGAGACGTGTGATATTTATTGAATTAATGCTTCCCCTAGAATTTTATAACTCTTTCTCTATTGCATACCTCAGATGATGGAAATTTACAAGCTGAGTCAGATTCTGGATCATTTTGGGTTCTGTTTGGTGGCTTTGCTCCAATTAGCAAAAAGGTTGCTACCGATGATGATATCGTTCCTGAGAGAACTACTGCTCAACTTTATAGGTAATGTTGAATCCTTTACCAAGTGTCAAGCAGTTTCTCGTGTTTATGATACTCTATATCAAAGTTTTCTTGATATCCTTGAGAGACCATGTAGTGCTGGACGTAACGTCTTTCAATGGATAGCCCTCGGGGTTGTTACTTGTAACTGAATTTTGTATGTCAACGTTTTGCTGTTGTTGGTGCTAAAGGTGAATTATGTCCTCTTTTGCAGCATTACTGATGGCCAGGTCAATTCTTTGGATGGTGAACTTACAAAATCCATCTTGGAAAATGACAAATGCTATATTTTGGATTGTGGTTCCGAGGTTTTCATGTGGGTAGGCCGTCATACTCAGCTCGAGGAGAGGAAAAGTACCATTCAAACAGCAGAGGTAGAATGTTAGCTGTTCATCCATGTTCTAGTGTGGTATAGTTTCTCATTTCTGAATGACTCAATAATTTTCAGGAATATCTTGCCAATCAAAATAGACCCAAGTCAACACGTATAACCCGGATTATTCAAGGCTATGAGACACATTCATTTAAGTCCAATTTTGACTCTTGGCCATCAGGATCAACACCTGCCCCTGAGGACGGACGAGGGAAAGTAGCAGGTAGAGTTATTACGAGAGTGTGAAGATTTTGTGTGTTTCTGGTTTGAGTTAGTTTTAACTTTGTCCATGTTGAGTCCTTTCAGCTTTGGTGAAGCAACAAGGTGCTGCTGTCAAAGCTGCTAGCAAAAGTACTTCTGTCGATGAAGAAGTACCGCCTTTGCTTGAAGAAGGTGGAAAGATAGAGGTCTGAATCTGATCATCAGAATGTTTTCCATGTCATAATTTGGCCAGCTCAGTCTTCACTGAAAATGTAAAATTTGTCAGGTTTGGCGTATCGATGGCAGTGCAAAGACTCTGATACCCAAAGAAGACATTGGTAAATTCTACAGTGGAGATTGCTACATAGTTCTCTACACATACCATTCTCATGAAAGGAAAGAAGATTATTACTTGTGTTGGTGGATTGGAAAGGATAGCATCGAGGTACGGATGTCCTTGCATATAAGGGTCCAACGCGTCTTTATAGAATTTTCTTAATTGAATCATTGTTGTGGATTCAGGAGGATCGAGAAATGGCTGCACAATTGGCTAGCACAATGTGCAATTCACTTAAAGGGAGACCTGTGCTGGTATTACTTCTTTCTCTTACTGTTTTTCAGTCAAAAACTCAAAATGAAGCTTAATTGTGCTACTTACGTTATCCAGGGTCGGGTATACCAAGGGAAAGAACCACCACAATTTGTTGCAATATTCCAGCCCATGCTGGTCCTTAAGGTATCTCTCCATATATCATGATAGTGGCTATTGACGTCGTTTTAACATATAGAATAACCATGACAAGTTTCTTTCCTTTTTCCAGGGTGGATTAAGCTCTGGCTATAAAAATCATATTGCAGAAAATGGCTTGAATGATGAAACCTATGCTTCTGATACTGTTGGCCTTTTCAGGATATCTGGAACTTCTAGTCATAACAACAAAGCAGTTCAAGTCGATGTTGTATGCTTACCGACCCTTTTAAGTTTTCCCCTCTTTGGGATATTAAGTTTTCTATGGCTGATAATCTGTTCTTTATTCTACACTATCTGTTCCAATTTAGTCATGCTGCAAAAGCTACGTTATGAGACCCTTCTTGTCGTCACTTGAACATGTTCTCAAACTATGTCTAGATAGATAGGTAGCCTCCGTTTTATGTTGATAGAGTCTCCATGTCTCAGAGAGTTGTTCTTATGGATTACGTAAACATCTGTCCAGGGATGTAATTTAGGATTCTTTTCAATATATTTTGAAGCTGTCTAAATGACAGTCTAATAGAAAATGAAAATGTCACACTTTTCATTGAAAATTTATGTTAACTTTGTACTTACTCCGTACTGTCACGCTAAAGTCTAAGTTGCTGTTGTCATTATGTCCAAAGCTACTATGAACTGTGTTGTAAACTTGACAAAATGAAACTTTACAACCTCGATTTCTAATTTTCAC